CATGGCCCCAAACTGAGGGGGGCCCTGAAAGCTTTGGTTACCAAAGGCACCCACCTGGTTTGCCGGAGCACCAAAATTACCCTGTCCATTGCTGTTGTTGTAATTGTTGCTGCCATAGCTACCTAGAGTTGCCACTGTTGCCTCCATAGCTGCCACCATTTTGGGCCTTATTGCCACCAAAGGCACTCTTCGGCCCATTTCCAAACCCCCTGTCACTGTCCCTGTCCCTGTAACTACTCCCACCAAAGCTGCTCCTCCCACCCCCAGAATACCTATCCCGACGGTCATCCTTGTAGCCGCCTCTTCCACCTCTTCCACGACCTGGATGAGATAATGACAAGAGAGGGACGAAAGAGGAGAGTGGAGTGGGTTCAGACTATCAATACAAGGAACCTACAACATGGCAGCAAAACTAACAAAAAAAAGCCCTTCTCAGACATGGAATGCGCCACATTGTTGGCTTCCTCGATCTGTTAAAGTGATACAGATGTGATTTTTAAAAAATGATTTTGGCTCTGAAGCCTTAACAACCAACCTGAGTGCTATGGATGCTGGCCCCTGCTTTTACCAACAAATCTCCAAATAAATATCCTCATCAGGTTCATAATTCATTAGATAACTCTGCTGCCCATTTTAAATTTTCCAAATATTGAATGAGAAGTTGTTAAGTTTGGAATCTCCTTTCATTCTTCCTCTATGCAGAATGAAAAGTAAGTGGTAGGAGTGCTGCCTTGATCATTATTGTGACTAAAGTAGAGTTTCTTTCTTTTACCAGGCACTGCGAGGGACCCCAAAAAACATTAAACACATAAAAAACATCTTTGATGAGTCTGAGTCTCTTCAACAGCTTAAAAAAGTGACTCAATCCGCGTGTCCTGGTTTACTTATCAATGTGCATGAGAGATAATAAGTGATAGATTTATCATAGTGCTTATAAGAACGTAGGCGGACAAAGATATGGTGTTAATCTGACATCATGCTATTTAGTTTGCTGCTGTGTTGAAAGTGATGAGGACTGGAGCTTTTCAATGTATTGAGATGCGAGACCAACGTGTTGAATTGCGGTCACATTTACGCTACAAGGTGCATGTCTGAAAGTGGCTTTTAAGACAATGACAAAGATTACACTATTTTGTCCAAACCATCTAAGATACAAGTTTCTAACAAGAGATGTAGAATATGAATCACTGAAATAAAACAGACAAATAATTAAAATTAGCTCATGAAGCCGAGCCTCAGAATGAATTCTCATATCTACTAAAAGATCATAATCATAAACACTTTACACATACACTGCATCTTCCTTGAAAATCCTTATTATTGCAAACAAGTTCACATTTTACCTCCTCTGTCCTCTGCCATCTGGATCAGCTTGGGGTTAATGGCCTGGTTGGCCTCGCGGAGCACAGAGATCAGGTCACTGGCTTGTTTCATGTTGTTGGGGGTGAAGAAGGTGTAGGCCGTGCCCGTTTTTTGACTTCGGGCTGTGCGTCCAATGCGGTGGATATAATCCTCGGAGGAGTTAGGGTAGTCATAATTGATGACAAATTTCACATCCTCCACATCTGTGAAAGTGTTGCAGTGTGGCAAAACAAAACATGGGGGCCACACAGGATTTTGCACACCACAACAGCCAGATCAAAGGGAAAAGTTAGCAACTCTGAAGGCTGGGGAAGAAAATGGTCATTAGGGCTGTGGAGAAAATGTGTTAAAAAACAACACAAGATTGTGTACATATCTACTCCATGGGAATACTACTGTGGGAAGAGAGAAACGATGCACACTCCATTTGCTTACCATAATAAAAAAAAAAGGACATTCACTCTCCCTTTTGTTAACCAAGGGAGAAAAGGAAATGGATTTAAGTCTTACCATAAAGGAGTATGCATTCACTAGTCCTTTCCCAATGCAGCGAAATCCCCCACAAATTGTCAAGTGACATCCAGGAGCTTCTACGCAGTTGGGCCACGATATGCACTGGGGCCTCCTCATGAGCCAATATAGGACCATTCAGTGGTACATTTTTGCAGGTCCATTTTTCCCAGTACTCTCAAAAGAAGCTTGATATTAAAGGGCCACACTGCATGTCTTGCCAAGACAAAATAGATCAAGTACTAATTTGAACAGGGGCCCCGTTCAAAAAAAATGAAAAAGGCCCAAGCCTTGATCCCTGTGGGACCCCTCACCGAGCACAGAATGATTCCCCCCCCCCACTCCCTTCATCAGTCTCATCAAGGCAAGATCTTCCAAGAAGCCAGTGTTCACTTGAGAAAATGTCTCTCGTTGGCAGGTCTCGACATGACTATAAAACGCAGGCGAGGGAGGAACTTTGGTTTGAGCTGTCTCACTCTCTTTCTCCTCTCACTAGATGTTCCCACTACCCCCTAAACACATGTGCCAGGTCTCATCAATTTTCAGAGACAAAAGATTTCAAATTACTCTCTCCATTTCAGGAAATCCAGCACTTTGACGGGAAAAGAAAACAAAAGCTTAGACAGGCTCACAAGCACCCATGCCATGTGATACAAGCTCCGAAAGGTAACAAATGTTCCAAATCTCAAACAAGTGACTTGCAATACAGCGCTCTCTAACACAACAGCATGCAAGGCAAAAGTCACAACATCAAGCATATCTTTTTTTTTTTTTTTTTTTAACGTTTGAGTTGGAAACAGCTGGATGGCATTTGTCAGGTGAAATCCATGGACAGAGAACAGATGTGTGTGTATTTCAACCACATATCAGAGACAAAGGCTTAGCCACACAGCCTTTTGAAGATCACTGGCACACAAGAGCTTCACCTCTCTAGGCCCACTGGGTGGCAAGCCAGTGGAGCACTTCCAATATGTCATCCTTCTCCCTCTCGAGGCCTGGGACTGTCATGCCTAGCGCCTGCCACAAAGACTCCACCTTAAGGTGAGAAAAACTCAGAAAATGCATAGAAAAGTTAAAGAAAGCAAAACCACTTTCTTTAAAGTAAGTGTAACACTGATAAGAAAGTGATGATACTCAATGGCATACTGACCTAAGCCACGGGAGGCCACATCTGTAGCGATGAGGATTGGAGCTTTGCCATATCTGAACTCTGAAGGGAGAGAGGCAGTATTTAATTCAATTACAGGGCAGGCTGTGACACAGATTTTTGTTTACCAGTAACTTGCAATGTTATTTAGTAAATCTCACCATTAAGGACCCAGTCCCTCTCCTGCTGGCTCTTGTCTCCATGAATTCCCATTGCTGGCCACCTGGGACAGACAGAGTGAACATTAAACACTGATGCAACAAGTAGTTATCATCTGGCATAGGCTAAATATTAACTTTTCAGATGAACAGAATAATTAAAATAAGGAAGAAAGAAGAGGAGATCCATACCCATCTCTTCTCATCCTCCTGGTGAGCTCGTCACAACGCCTTTTGGTCTCCACAAAAATAATGGTCTTGTTCTCCTTTTCGCTCATTATCTCCTCCAGCAAGCGGATCAGTCTGACAGAAAAGAGACAAAACTTAAAATTTAGTCTGTCACTACAACAGACATTATGTTTCTACTGACTCTACCCTGACATAAGTGCAGTAATAGACTGGTTTAAGATAATCCAATGACTGACTGATGCAAATGAAGAGTCTACTCACTTGTCCTCCTTCTCCATGTCATTGCAAACATCAACTATCTGCAGGATGTTGTGGTTGGCACTGAGCTGTAGCGCACCGATATTGATCTGGACGTAGTCCTTCAGGAAGTCCTCAGCCAGCTGGCGAACTTCCTTAGGCCAGGTCGCACTCCACATCAGGGTCTGACGGTCTGGCTGTTAAAGACAAAAAGGAGGAGTTCAACACAATTTTGCAGCTTCAAAGTAAATTTAACACTCAGATTTAAAGTTGAATCTCTAGTAGCAGCTATTGGTTGAAGTTTGCATTTTGTATCTTGCCAGCCAAGCTTTTATGTCATTTGTGTGCTGAGCAAAATGTTATAAACAAAGCAGCTGGGTAGTAATCATGTTGTGGTGTGACAGTTTATTTTATAAATAATGTCACCCATCAGTTGTGAAAGAAAACTTAACTAACCCGAATTTGTTCCACTATCTTGCGGATCTGAGGTTCAAATCCCATGTCCAGCATGCGGTCAGCTTCATCCAGCACCAGATAAGTGCAACGACGCAAATTAGTCTTACCACACTCCAGGAAGTCAATGAGACGACCTGGGGTAGCAATGCAAATCTCAACACCTTAAAAAAAAAACAAAAAAAAAAACACAACAACATACATTTAAAACCAATCAAACCTTAATCATAAAACACATGCCTAACAGCAAAGAAGTTGATTATGTTCAATAATATTAACATAGTGAGAGTAACAAAGTAAGCATACCCCTCTCAAGGTCCCTGATTTGAGGTCCTTTGGGCGCCCCACCGTAGATGCAGGTGCTCTTGAGACGGGAGGCCCTGCCATATTCAGCAGCCACTTGTTGCACCTGCTGAGCCAGCTCACGGGTTGGTGCCAGCACTAAGCACTAAAGAAAGATTGATACAGTACAGATTTAACAAATTGTATTGATTTGCTTATTGAACATCAAATAAACATGATCTATGTATATTGCACAGTTACAACACCTTGTGTGTTTATCTATTCACATAGGAAAATATTTATACAGGGCCAAGCAACTTCACCACAACCAAGAAAGAATAATCCCTGCAAAAAATGAAGGATATACAAAAAAGTAAAAAAATAAAAATAAAATCACAATAATAATTACGGCTCCGGCGTAAGTCAAAATTTCAGTGGGAATGGTAATGTTTGCATTTCATTTTGACTGTTCCCTTAGGTCTGGAGAATAGGATTTGTAGGCTGGGGCGTCTCTGTAGCACCACAATGCTTCATTTAAAAAAGAAAATCAAATAAAAAAAAATAAAAATAAAAATTTAACTCCTGCAGTTTGGATAGTGCACTTGGCCTCATTGCAATTTTGATACTGTTTTGATTAATTGTTTAATACTAATCCCTGCAGACCAGTGGCCTGTACTACGAAGGGAGTTCAGCCTACTCAGAGTTAACTCGGGGTTATCAGTCAAACTCAGGGTTGACAAACTCTGAGCGCCTTTCACTGGAGTTAAACAGTACTACGATGGTGGATTAGATGTTGGTTAGTTGAGTCCGTGTTAACTTAATTGTTGAGTTGGTGTGTGTTTGCATAAATGGGGCGTGTTCGGCTGTGCAGGCAAAGTTTTTTCACCACAGCGCATGCTCCGTATTTCTCCAGAGGAATGCACATTGGTAGTGTCAAGAAATTATGAATATGAAGACAAGTTAACAGCTAAATCTAATATTGTGGCAAAGCCAGGGCGGCTTGTTGGCATCGCATTGACTAAATTTCTAGCCTAATTATAAAAAAACAAAAAACAAAAAAAAACAAAAACACACACACACAGTGTTCTCATTATAGTTCAAATCTCATGTATTTTATGGGCTCTTCTTTAATGTGTAATATGATTAAGATGTAAAGTACGACTGCACATAAGGTCCATTGTATTAGAAAAAAAATAAAAAATTAATTATTGTCTCTGATTATTAAGATTAATCTACAAGTAAAAAAAATTGAATATTCTCTCACATTATGGTCACACATTTATGAGAGAAACTTCACTTTGCAAGGCTGCAACATCGCGCACACACACACACACGTCTGCCGTGTATTATGCACGCACTGGAAAGTTATATTAAACTTTGCAATCAGATTTAGCAGTGAGGAAATACTCCTGAGTTTAGCTCACAATCACTATCATGCACCTTAGAGACTTTGCCTTGGATTGGGCGTATTCAAAAGAAAAGACCGGAGTGATTTTTGATTTTTTACGACATTAATTTCAGGGAATTTACAATTTTTCTTATTGTAAATTTCACACTTTAATCTAGGAGGATTCAATTATAGCCCAGAGATGGGCTACATCTAAGAAACTATCCCGTCAATTAATTAAGATTCCTCTCTAAAATCACAGAGGCTGCAGGGCTCGCTGTCTGAACGTAATGCTGTTGTGTTCAGAACTTCATTGCAACCGCAGTGGAACAAATCAGGATGAAATGGTGTGTAATAATATCCTACTTCTTATCATTAACACTAAGTACAGATGTGGTGTGTAGTCCACTTGCAGGATCACCTCGAGTTAACCATGAACAAAACCTGCTCGGAGCAGTTTAGAGATGCAGCGTAAACTGCCATAGAAACAGACCTCGGTTAACACCTATCAACCTTTGATAGTACGGGTTAATCAGGAAGTTACACCCGGCATCACAAAGTTACTGCTGAAGTTACCTGGATAAGCCAGTTACCTCGCTTTGTAGTACAGGCCACAGCACCACGACTGCCCCAAAACGCGCTCAGTTTAGGATAGGATTTAGTTGTGCCATGGCAGGCGAAGCAGTAATTGTAAACAATTAATCTGCCCCCTAAAAGCTGATAGCATAATATTATGGTACTGCTTGGAGAGCTTTGTCATCAAAGAGTAAATTATTCAAGCAACCATGTTAAAAACAAAAGATGTACAAACTTAACACACAAAAAGATAGTAGCCTTGCTGGTTTCTTATTTGTTTGGCACACCAAGTACAGCAAAAAGTGCATATTCAGTCATATGCGAAGCAACACATCGATCAGTATGATTGGAAGACTAAGCATCATCTGGGTAATGTTAACATATTATTATTATTATTGTGATGGCTTAAAAATAATTTCCTGTTCTTCAAAAATATAACAAAAATTGCCAATATCCTTTTGTGCTAACAAAGACAGAATCACACATCTAATACAATGAAATTTTAGGTGTACTTACTATAGGTCCATCTCCATGCTCCAAGAATGGCTGATGTTGGATGTGCACAATTGCAGGCAGAAGGTACTAAAAAAAACAAACCAAACATACCACATTATAAAAAAATCCTGATTTATTAAGGACACACACCCGGTCCAAAAGACATGCAATGAAAAACTTAAAACAGACAAACACTAAAGTAGACAAAGGAAAAAAAACATACATAGTCCACAATATTAACATTGTTTCAAGTTATTGTTTTAACATCTTATCTTAAATGGCTATTTTTATATTTAATTAATTTTTTTCAATCTTGAGCCAATCACTCTGGGCAACAGTATAATGAACCAACTAAGCGGTTAAGATTACTTCTGTAATAAGTAAGAAAAGTAAGTAAATTGTTATAACGAATCTGAATAACTGAATGAACAATATAGAATAAATAAATTGGCTAAATGTACAGCACATTGCCAGAATTGCGATGCACCACGTTTACAGTATCTAGCTGGCTCTTCTTCTCAATTAGGTAGCAACAGATATATCTAATAAGGCTGCTGAGCAGAAAGGGTCTGAATCAGAATTGCAGAATATTTCACTTACTGCAAGGGTTTTCCCAGACCCAGTTTGAGCGATGCCAACCATGTCTTTGCCACTAAGGGCAACGGGCCACCCCTGAGCCTGAATTGGAGTTGGTTCAGTCCAGTTCAGTTTGCCAATAACATCCATGACATAGCCTGAAGTAGAAAGATATGCATGTTAAATTGCTTAATGTAAAAGCTTCTGATAATGACGCAGTATGCTGAAATAATTAACATATTTCAGCAAAGAGGCAAAGGACTGTTCAGGATTATTTGTGTGGTGGAGTATGAATTTCTACTCACTTGGAAATGCAGCTTCATGGAATTTTGCAATAGGTTTGGGGCAATCTCTGCCTTTGACCGTAACTTCTTTGCTTCTTCGGTACTGTTCAACCTCTTGCTGTAATTAAATTAGAAGAAGTGGAAATTTTAAAATTAAAATAAACCATTGTCATTACACATATATACACAAACGCCTGCATGAAACAGCAGGAAAACACATTAAATCTGTAAGTGGGAATGTTTGTTTTGGGTGTTAGACCTTTTCCCTTTTGTTTTACTTAACTGTAATTTTGTGTTAATGTGAAAATTAAAACGTAGAAAAGCGCAGCTCTTACAAGTGGTCTGCGAGTGGCATCTGGATGTTCCTGGTAGAAGTTCTTTTGAAACTTTGGAAGCTCGTCGAGGTTCCAGTGCTTCTTTCGCAGCCTCTCTCCGGGGTTGCCAAACTTTCCTGGAGGAGGTCCGCCCCTATTGCCGCCTCCGCCACCACCAAAACGAGGGGGTCCTCCACCATACCTTAAATAAAAGAGAGGGACACATAACAGAAAGCACGGCCAAAAAAGGGGCACCCATAAAAAAGTCAATGAAGTAGTTCTGATTAGTACTACTCAGCCAGTAGAGGAAACTGTTAAGTTTAACAAATACCCCTGATGATACATGGTGATATCATCTTGGCCATCTCAGGTTGGACTTGGTGGGGTTTGAAAAACTATTACTTGTATAATATGAAGTCTAAGGTTCTGCGTTTTTGTCTCTTGACTTGTACTAGGTAAAAGTGAGAATATCTCAGCCACTGCATACTGATTTTGACTTTTCCTTTGTACAGTCTGTCACTTGTCAGCCCCCAACTTTATTGACATGCAGTACTAAATCACTCGTCATCCTATGCACTCCACTATAAATAAATAACATGGAACTGTATGTAATTTTTGTGTGTATCTGTATTTGTAACTGTATATTTATTGTTTTATTTTACTCTAATTTAAATATATGTTAAACATTCAATGTGTGTAGCATGAAGGAGCTACAACTTGCATTTTGCAACCCTGTGTTGTAAAACAACAAACAAGTGAACCTTGTCCCCTTAACACTGCCTTGCAAACGTTTCTGGACTAAAATCCTCTCTTCCCTGTTTTATATTTGAAAGCACAATATAAATAAACTACACAAAAGGAACAGTGGCTTTACATTTGTAAACAGCAGTAAAAATCCTTAAATCAACATTTGTGAAGGAAGACACAATCTTCTACACAGAGAAAGTTTATAACCTACAGGCAAAACGTGGAAATGAATTTGTGGACTTATTTGTTTTACAAACACTGAGCATATCTGGCGTTTTTCCACTACAACTCACACAGTCAATAGTTTTCTACAAATTGTTAGTTAACAACCCAAAACAAACACTTAGACCGAGTCAAATTTAAATGTCTAGCACTTGGAAATTGCCGTACTAATACATAGATACTGACCTGTCATGTTGCAAAGTAACGTTAACATTAAACTGTCAGAGTTAGAGAGTGTCTAGGTCACAATACTAATGGAAAATGAGTCATTTAAAATAAATTGGGTCACTGCGACACAAATCCTCGTCTCAGATGTGCATCCACAACAGGAGACACCACTGCGTCACATGATCAGATAACAAGTGCAAACTGCTCAGCCAGCAGAGCCGTCGTTAGCTGCCATTTTACCTCTATTCGGCAGGGGAACGGAAAAAAATACAAACATGTCAACGCAGGGCCGCTAGAGCGTGTAAAAACACGACTTTTCACAATTTAATAGAGACATGTAGCTAGATACCAACAAGTGGCGACATAAACTAACGTTAGAAGTGTCTTGTTTTGAGAATCCAGCCATGACAGCTCTGCCGTTAGCAACCGTATGCTAAGCCGTTCGTCTTGGCTAACGTCAAGAAACCCGGACACTTGACTTACCCTCTATCTCTGCCACGATCTCTGTCTGAAAATCCAGGCATTGTGTAGCAGACTACTGCGGTGAAAGTGGACTTCGTGTAAATCCGGTGTGTCGGTCAACAAAACTGAAGATCAATCCAAGTCAGCACAGTGAAAACAAAAAGAAAATGCCGGCAGTCAGAAGTCTGTTTGCAGAGACGGAAATGAGGTTAGACGACGCGGATAACGTTGTATCAATGCGCACCCCGGTGGCACTATTTAATCTCCGCACATATGGTGATTCTGACAGCCAGTTAAAAGCCTCATGTGTGTTTAATGTGTACACATTTCATATGTTTCACGTTTCAAGTTGTATAAAGATAATAATGATACACAATATGGACAGGTCAAGAAAGAGTTAAAACAAATAAAAGGGAAATTAGGCTTTTGTATTAAATCCTGAGAATAATACATAACAGATTAAGATGATTTTTTTTAAACAATAGTTTTATTACATTTTTATTTCTTTAAATCATATTCAATTTACTTGCACTTACAGAAAGGGATTCTAAAATGTATAACTCCAGTCAAAAGAAAAGTGATATGGATGAGACTGACAGATTTTAAGATATTATATATTTTTTAATATCCCATACTGTGGCCCTGTAACTGGTTGCCAGATTCTTCTAGAACACCAAAAAAAATAAAAATTAAATTAAATTAAACAAATTATGATCACCACTGTGAAATCCTGCAAAAGTGGTTCAACAGAAACTCAGTTTAAATGGCCATAACTCTGTGACCATGTGAATTTAAACTGTTTAGAATTCTGTCTTGCACAAATTGTATTGATAAATTATATATTACTGTATATACTATATATAGGTAGTATTAGCTACTTTCCAAAAATCATGGGGAGAGGAGCATCTGCTGAAACTGTTTTTTATTTTGTGGTTGCCGCAAAACCATATTCTGACAAAAGCTGTGCACTAATATTCATTGAGCCTTTTCACAAACTTTCACTGACAACCCACTGCTTCAACAAACACAATGTACAATTAACATAGAAATATAATACTATTGCTGAGATGAGGGAACAAAACATCACTTCGAAATAAGTCCAGTTGGGCAAGCAGTCACAAGATCAGGTAGTAACCAGGGTACACAATATTCTGTTGTATTCGGTAAATTCTTCTGGCACAAAATGTTTAAACTTCCCAATGATCTCCATCTTCAACTTGTGGCTTTTATATCACAACACAGTCTTCATTTGGTTGATGTAAAACATGTGTGACACTCTTGAACCCACACAGACAGAAAAAAGTGCATTTCATTTCACACAACTAAAATGACAAAAACATTTAACAAAAAGATTAAATAAAACATGCAAGCAGTTTGAGATCCTCCAAAAATAAAAATCCATTTATTTTACAAAGCAGGCCATTAATCTAGTCGTCTTATGTAAATGGTACTGTTCTTGTGTAATACCAAAAAACACCATGACTAAAATGAGGACACATAGCCAGAGGGAACATATTTATACAGTAAGCTATGCAGAATTTGATAAAACGTGTGCAATACGTGAAACATTGCCTCCTGTGCACCTGATGGAGAAAATGTAAAAATAAGTTGAATCACCGTTCCATAGTGGCAGAGGAATGAAAATTTTCAATCAGGACATATTCCATCAGAGAAGCTGATATTTACTCTGTAGTAAGTTATGTTTGGCGGTATGGCTCTGTTCTGGGATCTCCCTGCCCTTCCACGTGCCTACATGGAAAGCCATGGAGCAGAGAGAGCAGCAGCAAAGACTGCCTGGAGTACAGACCAGAGCAGGATCAATAATAACAGAAACTGATTAATCAGACACAGCCTGGAAGGAGGCGCTGGAGTGGTGGCGGGTTACAAGCTGCTTGCAGAGGAAGCAACTAGAGTAGGCAGGCTAAAGCATCTGAAATAAGGCGCCTTGTACGGAATTTGCTGATGAATGCTAAGAGGGGAATCTGCTGAGCTGTCAGCTGCTTTGAGATGGGCTGCCATCAGCTAATGTGCTATGATTGTAGGTGAAGCTTGACTTTGTTGCCTGCCTGAACTAACACTGTGCTCAATGAATGGTTATTTTTAAAAGGATTTAGGTATAACCCAAGATCCTTAAGAATCCCCTATTTTGATCTTTTGTGTACTTTATAATACATGAGTTTATGTCTACGATGTACATGCATTTTATAAAAGTTACTTTTCCGCTTGTGTTGCTGTGATTTAAACATATGTTCTTTTTAACTCTGTTCAGCACTTTGAGATGCATTTGTTGAATGACTTGTCCTTTATAAATAAAGTTTGATTGATCTGAAAGCGTCAGTCAGTGCATGCTTGTTTACTGTCCAATGTCATCAAAAGTCCTTCATTCAGGATGCCTGCTCTGACGTGATACAGTCCAGCAAAAGAAATCCTTCGAAAAATATCCTCGAATAATGTTTCCAACACGTACTGCTCCGTGGTCAGCGGTGTCCTGTCCACCCATTCCCAGATCTTTATCAGGGACATTCAGATCGGACCTGGTCTTTACATTTCCCATGCTTCAGATCTGTGTTTCAAAGGGAGAGACAGCCCTTTTACAAAGCAGAAATTCTTGCTAGGTACTACAGTATTTTACAATTGCTTTGGCTCACTTTTCATAAGAGTTTCCCAAACTACTAAATTGTTTCCTTTAAAAACAAAAATACGTTGTCGTTGTCGTTGTTGTAACAGAAACATAGAGGATCTTGTGTGATAATTGATTGTAGACACAGCATCTCATCAATGAATAAAGATGATACAATAGAAGTGGTAATATTTCACTTACCACAACACTCATTGAATTCACTGTAACTGGCTTTTAACTGGTCGATGATTTTACTGAGATTGGCGATTTCTGCCAATAATTGGGTTTTCTCTGTACTCCAAGTGGCTCCGTCTTTTTTCACTATTGCAGCAAGAGGAACAACAAAACAGCAACTAAATATTCCCATGTAATATCAGAATATTACAGTCTTTATGTAATCAACTATTTTCTTTACACCAAACTGAATTAGGAAAAACTCACTTTGGACCTCGAGACAAATGAGGACCAGGATCCCAGCCAGGAGGAGAACACACAACACTCGCAGAAACATTAAAGAAGTTCTGACATGATTCCTCCGCCCACTGACCACAGACACTTAAATAAATAATCAACATCAGGCTCAGAACTTTTAGGATACTGACATCTATGAAAATACACTAAATACATGAAATAGTATGTATAGCTGTAGATAACTCTAAGTGTCTATTCAAAAAACACAAGAACATTAAATGTAAACACGTGTTCAGAGGCAACAAAATAACACTACCAAACCACACAGAAAAATCCACAAACTGAAGCTTGGTGCTGGTCATGTCCATACCTGTGTGCTGAGCCCCTGTAGGTGCTGGTATATTTGGTGACATGCCCTCCACCCAGGGGTTGTCATACACTCTCAGGCTTTCTGCACTCACATAGATGTCCACTACACTCTCCTTGTCATACTCCCTTGTCATGATGATGCCAGGCTTAGCGTACAGGTCATCCGACGACATTTCAGACATCAAAGACCCAACTTAAGAATTGCTTTCACTGCTGTACTCCCAGTATAACAAAGTTTGTTTTTAATCCTGATATAATAGTTGTGTCTTTCTTCTGAAAGAGGCTGGACCTCCATGTTGGCATATAAAAAAAGGGAAGAGCTGAAAAAATAGGAAGTCATAAATACTTATTGTTTGGGCTTCTGCTTGTTCCTTTTAAATTTGCATGATAGCTACTTTTTGATATTTGATTTGCAGTCAACTACAAAAAATTATCACGATTGAGTGACCACTTATTGTTATCTGAAAATGCAACTGTAGGGAAGCTGAAACAAAGGACATGATAAATATAGATTTAAAACAACACCGTTTAGATAAATGAAATGAACAGTGCTTTACAAACCTCTTCCTCTTCCACAGAGAAAACTATATTTGAAGGTTTCTCTTCAAAAGTCATGTTTGGTGGATTTATTGGCATACTTTGTAGTACATTTCCTCTCATATACTACTCCAACATTAAAGCCCTGCACATCCATAGTCCATATATACAAGTGTTTTCACTTGTATATCACTCTTGATGCCTCAGTTTAACCGTAGCTTCTGAAGATACAGCAAAGGAGTTTAAGTGATCAGGTGACTTTGACCCAGACAACACAGGTTAGAACCTGTCCTAAATCTTAAACTGCAGCAATAAAAAGCACCTATGACTTTGGTATTGATGCATATGCACTAGCAATTAAAAAGACGCACTGTGATATGCAGCTGAAATAATCATTTCCTCAACAGTGGATAAAACTGGATTCAACTGATAATAATTCACTTTTTAATATGGATAATGAATACATTAAACTTTTCTCTTTAACTCAAAATTTGAACTCTTCATGCATAATTTTACACCAGAAGTGTAGTAAATTTTGTTGTGGTTCCTTACGTGGGCTTTTTAAATCCCTGGGACTTATAGATTTGGCTCAGCGCCCTTAAAAAGGACAAGAGTGACAGCCAAGTCCTCCATTGGAAGCCATTATAAATTTGTGTCAAAATTTCTGGAGCAGAGCAGAACGTACCAGTTTTTTAACTCGCAGAAGAGCTCACTTTTTTTAACTTTATCCACACAAAAAACATATCACATTGTTCACAAATGCCTTCTGCTGCTGCTGGTCGGGTAAATTTACCAATACAACCTATAGTTTTGCCACAGTGGAGGTTTGTTTGACAGAAAGTCTCTATCTGTCTCTATTGTCTCTATTTTTCTATCTGTCTCTATTGAAGAGATGGTTACCTTGGTGACGTAAGTTAGTTGATTAAAGATCACAGGACTGGGTCCTCTGTTCTGAAGTTAAGCTATTTTCTGAACACCTGTTTGTGTCCTCTTCACTGAACACACACCCACCCACACACACACACACACACACACACACACGCATTAAAGGAGACTTATTAGGCTTCTTATATTTTCTGTCTTATCTATAATGTTACAATGTCAGATGTTTATGTTAAACGTGGCCAAAGCTCTACTCTTGGCTCTTACTGATGTCATACAGAGCTCGTTTTCCATATATGGTAATAGGCCTGCAGCCTCAATAACAACTGGCAGCTCCTATGCTTAGTTTGTCTCTACCGCTGAGCGGCATAATCATCCTGCTTCAGGATCTTGGCCAATCAGAACACAGTGAGCTTTTTTTGGGGGGGGGGGGGGGATTAGCAAGTTTAGCAATCCAGTTTAGCATCAGCCTTCAACAGCCAGCCTTCAACAGCCAGCATTCACACCGCAATTTCTCCAGAAAGAAATACAATGGTTGTTACAAAATAAAGGAAACAACCCATTTTATTACTCACCCACAAATTTGTATTTTACAGCCTTCTGACCCAAATCAAGATTCTGTATTTTAATGAAACAAAATGTGTATAACAAAGCGTCTGATTTGTTATTTGCAGCCACATATTTGATTGGAAATGAGCAAGCTAATGCGTCTCAGCTACATACATTCACAATACTAAAGTAAATATCAAATTGATTGATATACCCTTCATCAGGGTGAATTTTTCAAAATTATAAATGATGTATATCAGCATTTTTATCGGTTAGTCAATCTTGATAGTGGTAATGTTGTATGTAATAAATCACTCAGTCATACAATTGAATAAGTTCTAAGAGAAAAATGTATTTATTTTGTGGTTTGTTTTTTATTACATCACAAACACAACAAATCATTAATTAATATAATATCAATCAAGTACAGAAGTTTATTTATGCATAGAGAAGGAGGAGAATGTGCAGTATGTTATTGGTATTTTACACGAGTGAAAGCAAAATAGATATGGAATCAGCCAAGAGTGTACCATAATTATTTTATTTTATTTATTTTTTTAAAAAGCGTTGTCTCACAGATAAAGAATAATGATTTGGTGCAACTTAAATCATTCCAGTTTTTTAAATCTTGTTGTATGGAAATCTCAGCACAGTTTTCACTTGTTTTTTCTCCTTTATTATCCGGCTGTCCAGTTCTCCAGTACCTGGGGATGAACAACAACTTTAACCATTGCTAAAAATTAGACATCAAAACTGTTGACATCTATGAGTTTTACTTCCAATTGAGAGCATGTTATTCTGATGGCCCACATAATCAACAGAACATTGAATGGAAACAACCACAGAAAGCTCAGGTGTCTGCACAATATGCTCAATATCACACAGTTTCACTGTGGGCAGAACTTGCATACACATCAATTCTTCGTTGTCAGTATATAAAACACAGATCTAATATCTTCATCATCTGTGTTCTTTAATCTTTGAATTCAGACTTTGTCTCCTGAGCCGTTGTTGGGAACTGTGGGCTTTATTGTAAATTGATCAATTAATTAAGAAGGCGCATTTTGAATATAACACAGAGACAGTCAATAAATCAGATTTTACAAAATGTCTTACGTTTCGGTGACTCTTGTTCCATTTACCCATTTCCAATCTCCTTCGGTCTCTTCATCAGTCAGACCAATCCAGGTCTCCAGGCCAAATGAGCTCATAAATCTCTACAAAGAGACATTTGTGGCAGTTATAGTCAGTTATATCTCACTTTTTCTTTTCTGTCCTTTCAAAGAGATTAGGTACACCAAAAGAGCCCCCCCAACCCTTCGGACATGTCACAGGAAAAAAACACAGGTGTAAATAATGAAATGAATGATGGCTGCTTCAGTTTTAGGGTCCTAGTATTGATCATGCTGTCACACTTTCTCGGCTTATTTGCTCACTTGTTTCCTACAATAACCCAAGAGGAATTCCGCCATTTTGGGGTTAGTAGGTGCAATTGTAGGCCATTTTTCCGCCATTTATAGGCTCTGTATTTTAACAATCTCCTCCTTGAGAATTATTTGGATTGACTTTCACAGAAAACACTGATGAAAATGCATGCTAACTGTGAGTTTTTTGAGGGCAGTGTCCATGGCGCTGAATTTTGATGTTTTGCCATGAAACAGGAAATTGTTGTAACTAGAGTGTACATGGAGATGTTCATGCTGTGGTCCACACTTGACATACTGGTACTGGTAACTGCACCACGGATACGGCACATCACAAAGTCGGCCTCGTTCATTACTGCTTGCTGCTTTCATTTTCCTCTTCCATTTTTTAAATTTTTTTCAACCATGTTTAAAATCACAGGAACTGAACATATGTTTCTTAATCCATTATTGAAAAAATAGGTTTACTTTACTCCTGTGTTTGAAAACATGTCTGAAGATATTAAAATAGTAGGCTACTCAGTCAACAACAATTGGTTCAAGAGATAGAAAAAAAAATTGTCCACTCACCTGTTCCTCAATACTGGATATGATCACCAGTTCTGCATTAACATTTTTACAGATCTTTCTGCTGTCATTCCAGTTTTTCTTTTCGGTGGAAATTAGATAACAACTATTTCCAAACTTTTCCCAGTTGTTAGGACAGCATGGAGTCTCTGTTTAATGACACAAAATGGCATATATCCCCATGACAACATAAAAGACACAACACAATCCAGAACATCAAGCAGAAATACCACTTGTAGCCTATATGCTGTAGGCTACTCGATGTTGCAGACCAGCGCGTCTTTCCAAATTAGTTAAAAAAACGATCAATATCTAAACAGCGGCTTAAAAGAAAAACCTGGGAAATATGCTGATTGACTTTAATTCTGAGAGTTAGATGATAGGTTGTGCAAAAGTCCAAGAGTAAAAATGTCAGCCGTTTTAGGGAAGCTATGGTTGCCTAGCAACTGCTCCCAGTCAAGAAATAGTGCATTACATAACACCTCAATTTACAATTTGATTTTTGTACAAATCAAACAAATGCTATTGTATTTAAATTAGTGAGCTTAAGCGTTACTCAGAGACGGGCTAGCTGTTTCCCCAGTTCTGGGCTTTCCAGTTTCCAGTGATAAGCTATCCAGCACAGCTATATATTTACCGTACATCCATGAGAATGGCATCGATCCTCTCACCTCATTCTTAATTCTAAAAAGTGAATAAGTGTAATTTCCAAAATGTCTATTCTTTTAATTAAACATCACTCACCAAGCTTTGTTTGTAATTCAGCTCTCTCTTTGGTGAGGTTGGTGTTAATGGCCTGCAGAAGCTTTTTCTCATTCTCTAACTGGCTTATATTTTGGGTCAGGAAGTGATTAAGACTTTCCATTTCACTGTAACGCCGCTGTAGTTTGTGTCTTTCGCTTGTCAGGTTGGCATTGTCCATCCACAGTTGATTTCTCTCCATGTTCCAGTTGCTTTTGTCTTGAATCACTGCCACAGAATCAAACATAAAAGCTCAAAGGTCACTTGTATCACATACTGTATATAATCTCTATGAATTTGGAAGACTTACATTGGACCATCAGGACAATCACTGCAATCTGGAGGAGAAGACACAGCAGCAGCAGAAACACTGCAACAGCTCTGAAAAGATTCCTTTGTCCTGAACTTACATTGACTGAAGTGGCTGAGGACACAAATAAACACTGCTGATTTAATAGAGTTAATAAAAATAAAAGTTCTGCTTCATTAAAAGTATGCTACATTCTATTAACGTTGCATTTGACTTAAAGCAGTCTGTGATTGTACATTCACAGTTTTGATGTAACAAATATGAATATGATGACAATGTCTGATTTTTTAAAATTGTAATTCATACGAAAACAAAAAGCCTCTATGTAAAATGTAATGTAATGTTTTCCCCAACATATATAAGTAATCTTAAATACAGTATCCCGTCTATGTAGGACATATAGGACATATGAGACAGGCAGATAGATGCAGACAGACAGACTTTTCTGTTGGTTCCCGGTAGTGTTGTCCTGTGATTCCAGCGGCGTACTGCCCTCTGCCCAGTTGTTGTGATTAATCCTCACATTACTGCTGTTATCATAGAGTTCTGTGTTTCTGTCTTCCTTCTCACCTGTCTGAAATCTAACTTTTCTGATGAGGTCTGGCTTGGTATAGAGACCCTCAGCCATACTGCTTTCTTACTTTACCTAATTGTTCTCTGTTCTCTGTTTTGCTTGGATCACAGTATGTTGGCATTTATATCAGCAAACTGCAGCCCTAGGGAATAGGGAAGTAATTAGAGGTCACTTTGCATCAGGTTTAAATAAAAAGGGAAGAAAATAGAGGAGGAAGAAAATAACTGAAGTAAACTTGGAAGAGAAGATGTCCTGTCATAAATCATCGTAATTTAAAGCCCCACAGTTTCACCAGATTTACACTTATATTTACTCTAACTACTACTTATATTGTGGTAGTACATTTCTTAGTCAGTATCCATCTATCTATGAGTAATGCATCATTATCTATACTGTGAAGGTTGTTTCCTTTTCTGTTTTATTTAAGCAGTACTGTTACAACAGAAACTGTGGTCATTCAATTTACACAGGACAATGATAAACTTGACACATGGTAAGTGTGCCAAAGTTTGGGAAGTACCTGTCTTTTTTCTTTCTTTCTTGCTATTCTACCACCACTACATGTATTTCAGTATTAATTTATTCATTCTGAGCAATGACAGCTGAAGTATAAGATTTCAGAGATTTTGCCACTCTAAACAAAATGTAAAGCACAATCATGCAGCTGCAGCGAATAAAATAATTAATCCCACAGTTTCCTGTTGAGTAGAGAATCACATGTGAACAATGTGCTGTGCTCTGTTTTACAATGGTTGTTAGTTTATTGTTTGATAGTACCTGAAAATTATAAAGTAAGACTATTGATGGCTGCCAACTTCCTCACACCTAAACGACAAAATGGGTAGATTTTCAAGTATCCCAAAAAGACCATTGTCCATTGGAAAGTGTGAACAAGACCTCTGTGGATCTGCTGGTTCTGAAAGTAAAATGGTGAGGGGCTGGATGGCTGGGATGTTGTTCTTTATGTGCTGAAGAACCACTTTCTCAAAGCACTTCAGAATAGAGGTGAGAGCCACAGGGCAGTAGTTGTTCAGACTAGACACTGCAGACTTTTTAGACTTTTGGAACCTGCTGTATATTTATGTGTGCACACGTTTGAGCAGTAATGAGTTTACAGAACTAACCAAAATGGAAAGCACCTCCATACACATGCAACAAAAGACTGGAAAGGTCATCTCATCAGCTCAGTTTCCTTTTAAGTACAGTCACATGTGTGAATGTACTGCTGTCTTCCTGCCACTGTCTATTTAGGACAGTCCAGAACTAGTAGTCTATCATTTCAGAAGCACACTCTCCAGACTTAGGACCAAACTGAACTGTCAGTACAGCTGAACATCATGGATCAACTGGATATCTATGCTAATGTAGAGAGACCATCAGCAAATCCTGGCAAAAAGAAGAGTTTAGAAATTTTTTCAGAAAGTATTTATTCAAATAAAGACAACATCCACACTCAGCCAAACGTTGGAGGCGTCACAGCGCGTCACTCCCAGATAACCAAAAATGGGCAAAGAGGCGGGTCGTAGGTGGAGCTGAGATGACTTTTTGCTGAAACCACTCCCGCCTGGCTCGACGTGACCGAGTTAGCTCATGCTAAGGAGCTAATGCTACATGCTACTCTGCGGTGCTGTACGGTGGAGGTTGGAACCTGCGGCTGTGTTGATACCAGTTTACCGACATTACCAGCTACAGTCAAGGTAAGACCGGAGAATATTAAAATAACTCACATATCTGTTATTGACATTATACTTCACAAGGTTTTAAATGATTTTTAATATATAAATGTGGTAACGTTATTTTGCAACACTAAAGTTGGATTTTGTTGAGACCGACGTTAACAGTTAACTATGAATCAGTTATTAATTATCTTAAGTTTACTTAACGTTAATGTTACAACTCAAACGATCAATTTCAAGCAAATCAATTGACATACTGTTGGTTACGAGCGGTTACGAGTCGTTTATTTGGACGTCACCTCAGTATGTTACTTGTAATAAACGTAATAAGCTAGTGGTAGAGTCCTCAGTTACATGATGGAAGCTATATATCTTGTAAAACGTTAGCCATGGCTGCTATCACGTTAATTAATTCCCCACACCGCTATTTTGAGTAACGTTGCTGCTGTCGGCAGGGCTGTGTGGGATTATTGTCTGGAATAGGACATTTGTGAGAGAAAGGTACTTTTTATATTTAAGGGGATATTTTTCTACCACTTTCTACCACTCTATTAGTTAGCTGTGACTGTTTTTGAGGTTCTGATGCCTCCACATCTGCTACTCAAGGCGTAAACTTTGAGTCTAAAATAATGTTGCTAGTCTTGGCTACTGGACATTTGACAGCTGATATAAAATTGTCTTAAAAGGACAACATAAAAACGTTTAAAGAGTCTCCTTTGTTCCATTTTCTCCCACGTATGTGACATAATAGTGCTGTCAACATTAAAACACTGAGGCATCTTTTAGAGGACCATCTCAAAAAATTAGAATACTGAGGAAAAGTTCATTGTGAGCATCAGAACCAGACTGAGAGAGTTAATTAGCTGATTAGAGAGCTCTTCTCCAGTGATTTCTGTATATTTTGTAATACAGAAATGTATAATTATTCTAAAATGTTTATACATTTTGAGATAGTGGAGTTTTTATTTCCAATGAGCTGTAAAACATAATCATCAAGATGAAAGCAAAAAGGATTTGAAATGCTTCACTTTGTGTAATGAATCTAGAATATATCAAAGATTCACTTTTTGAATTAAATTACGTTAGAAAATTAACTTCACCACACTATTCTATTTATTAAAGAATCACCTGAAGAATTTATTACACATTTTCCTCCCAGAGCCACACTGTGGATCAGATGTCCCACCTGGTGCCAGAGAGCTGCAGCGACCTGGAGTCCTCATTGTGCTGATGGGGTGGACTGACGTGGAAAGGCCTTCTCTCCGGTTCTCTCTTTCTGTTTACTTTGACTTTTAAATACTGTCCATATTTGTACCATAGATCCATTTAAAAAAAGATATGGTTTATGGTTCACTTTTAATAAATTCTATATATATTAGCACTCCCTGTCTTTACTACTTACTGAAAAGCTAATCGTATACCACAGATAAAACATGAAACATTAAAGCTGAACTCTTGCTAAAGAACACCAGTCTAGTATAAGTTAAAAAGTGAAAATACTCCCAACATGTTTCACATGAAATGTTGATAAGTAATTATGCAGTGTATTTCTGTCTGTGCAGGAGTATTTTTACTTTCTACCTTATACTTTAAGATAGATAAGGAGACATACACCCGGTACCCATAGACTGTTTAACAGAGCCTGAAGTTCCTGTAGAGCAGAGGTCACTAATAGGCGGACCGCGGTCCGGATCCGGACCCAGCCGCCGTCCTCTCCGGACCGCCGACCTACAGCCCATTTATTATTGAGACTTACTACCTCGTGACGGAGCGTTTCTATTTTAACCCGCGCAGCTTTTCTAGCATTTACTTTACTGGTTTAGAGGACCAGGAAACTCACAGACCAATCGCATGTGCTCCAATCGTCTCATGTGACGCTGCTCGGCCAATCAAATCTGTGCATACCGATGCTTGCGAGTTGAGTCCGCGAGATTCACCAGAGATGTTTTGGAAACACACCCGAATTGAGGAGACGAAAGATAAAAGAGATTTCACATGACTTTTAATCAAGAATGTATAGATTTTTACATGTACATTCCTCCCACGGGCAGTTCAAAACCAGAATATCTCATAGATCTCCAATATGCTAGCTGGAGCTCACGTTTCTCACTGAACAACAGAAAGTAGGAAAGTGGTAGCTCTGTAAGAGGAAATGAAAGAGAAGGGGAGGCATTACAGCTGTTCATTTGTTATGATGTGTTGAGTGTTTATTATAAAATTGGTTAAGACTACACTTCATCACTTCAAGCTACACTTTTATTACATTTTTTCTAAAAATTAGGCACTTTAATTTAGTTTACTTAAATTTGAATTTATTATTTGAATAGTTATTATTTATTATTCTTCCAGTTTGATGTGAAAACTGACTGAAATATTATTTTATTTGACAGTCCGTTGTTGACTAAAAACATGTGTTGATACAACTATAGGTTATAGTACTGAATGATAACGCAAGTTCGTCGTTTTTATGTTCCGGACCTTTGCTTCAGGAAATTTTCTCTAACTAGTCCTCTTTGAAATCTAATTGAATACCCCTGCTGTAGAGCCTTGTTTGTGGCTCTGATATAAGTCTAGTTTAAACACAGAATAATGTGGGCACATCCAAACCATCCTGTGGGTAAGTGCTAAAACAAAGAATGATCTGCACAGAGAAATTGTGAATCCCACTAGGTGTTCTTTTATTGTGACCTTGCAAACTCTGAGGTCTCAGAGCTGACCGAATGCACATGTAGTAAATAGGTGAGTCTATACAATGTAAACTACACAAGACCTTCTCAGGTCGCACCTCCTACAGGGCTACAAAACTATTCAGTGTGCAGATAATTCTTTGTTTTTGACTACAGAGTAACTTCTCAGTCAATGTCACATTTGTCTCTTAAAGAAATGTCAAAATAAAACAGTATACAACATCAACCTTTCATTTTTACTTGCTACTAACATATATGCAAAATGTTAGCCTATAAATAACATCTTAATATTTTCATTTACAGCTGTTAACTATAATATATTAAGTTTAGATCACACTATTTAAAATTAAAATATGAAACTGATGATGAATGAAGAATGATTTTATTATGTATAATTAGTTTGATACACTTAATAACAAAGTATTCCTAATACAAAAGCAATAGTTGAATAAATTAGACTCTTGTCTTGCATTCATGAAAACATCAATATTAAAAGGTTACAAATTTAAAAGTAGTTTTGTATGACTTGAAATGTGTTGAGTTATTATAATGATAGAATCTGTTAATAAGAACCCAGTGTCATAATTTCACATCAGTAGTGTTCAGGTGTTGTGAGTAAAAAGAAAAGCAGGAGCTGTAGAGATAGAAGCTGGAGCTGTTCTCTCCTGAAGAGCTGGACAGAGCTAATCACATCTGGAGGGTTCTGCAATCAGCTCCTCTGGCAAAGA